GCTAACCCTTTAAATATATGCAAACATTAATAATGTGCTCCCCCTTTTAAATTTATATGCAAAACCCATTAATAATGTGCTAACCCATTAATATATGCTAACCCATTAATAATGTGCTAACCCATTAATATATGCTCACCCATTAATAACGTGCTAATCCTCTTAGCTTCACTCACTGCTAGGGACATGGGCCTTTTTTTTACGTTAAGTACATATAATTTAATAAAACATTACTTTCTTTCTGTTAGGCTTATTTAAATGCTATTTTCTTTTAGCTATATCAAAAAATAAAATTTCAATTTTCCATGTTGTATTTTTCACGTTGTTATTGTAACTCCTCTGATATTTCCCTTTGTTCTCCAGAAAGACATTTTATCCTAAAAATTCAGACCTTTCCTCCACGTACATGGAGTTACCTGATTACCTCTCCATTCCCAGGTGCTAAATGACACCTATGGGATTAGTGATTTTCCACGTAAATAACAATAATCGTGACACAAATAACCCGCACATAAAAGAGAGAAGCTTACGACGACGTTTCGGTCCGACTTGGACCATTGACAAAGTCACCTTGTCAATGGTCCATGTCGGACCGATACGTCGTCGTAAGCTTCTCTCTTTTATGTGCGGGTTATTTTTGTATCGTTCCAGTCACGGTATTGTGCCTTTTTTGTTATTTACAATAATCGTGACTTTGCAGGTAGTGAGCTGCAGTGCCCAGACTTCTGTCCAGACCATTATGACCCAGTCTGTGGTTCTGACCAAGTTACGTACGACAACGACTGCAGGTTACGTAGTGTTGCTTGTACTAACAGACAACTGAAGAAGGTACATGATGGCCCTTGCAGTGAGTGTTATTATTAACTCAAATCTTCGTTTTTAAGTAGTAACTGATATCTCCTGTTTACTATGGAACAATTTAATTTATGCACCTATGTCTCTCTTGTTTATCCTGCGTAAGAACATAAGAAAGAAGGAACACTGCAACAGGCCTAGTGACCCATGCGTGGCAGGTCCATGCCACCCCCCCGGCCTTGAGCAATGACCACCTAGTCAGGTATCATTAATAATGTTATTAAATATAAACATATGTATATTCTTCTGTTCTCAACACACCAGCAGTATCCCACCGAAGCAGGTGACCCGAAAAAGAAAAATGGAATGTTCTCTTTTTAACTTTAGTAATGGGGAAGTGGAACAGAATTCTTCCTCAGTAACCCATGAGTCTCTTAAGAGGCGACTAAAATGCCGGGAGCAAGGGGCTAGTAACCCCTTCTCCTGTATACATATATATATACATTATATATATATATATATTATATATATATATAATATATAAATATATTTTATATATATATATATATATATTATTATATATTTATACACATACACACACCCCACACAGGAAAATCGCAGTAAAACAGGACTCGATACGCTATTGGAAACGGTCAAGATTCCAGGCAGCGCTCTTATCCACTCGGGCCACAAATACCACATAGACTGGGGCGCCTGGTTCACAAGCCATATTTCTCTACCAGCCCGGGCACGTCAGTCAGCCTCAACCATGGATCAAGGTATTGCGATCTCTTCCTGTATGTTCTGACCTCTCAAACGATTTTTATAATGGTGCTTTGAAATAAAAATCGTTTGAGAGGTCAGAACATACAGGAGGAGATCGCAATACCTTGATCCATGCTTGAGGCTGACTGACGTGCCCGGGCTGGTAGAGAAACATGGCTTGTGAACCAGGCTGTCCAGTCTATGTGGTATTTGTGGCCGAATGGATAAGAGCGCTGCCTGAGAATCTTGACCGTTCTCAGTAGTAGTTTCGAATCCTGCTGACTGCAAACCTAGTCCTTTAGACTCATGTTGGTCCCGTGGTTTAGAGTGTCGTGAGTTTTCGCTCTTCCCACATGGCGGGCTAAAATAACACATGTTCGATCCCCCGGCTAGCCACAGTTTATTATTGATTAAATACCACTTGTTCGTGATTACAGGAGTTGGACAAAATACAGGAACACCCGTTGACTGAACTGTCCAATGAAAGAATAATCACTATTATTATTATTATATATAATATATATATATATATATATATATATATATATATATATATATATATATATATAATATATATATATATATATATATATATATATATATATATATATATATATATATATATATATATATGTCGTGCCGAATATGTAAAACTGGTCAATTAGCAAGAACTCATTTAAAATTAAGTCCTTCTGAAATTTTCTCTTATACGTTTAAAGATATTTTTTTTTCATTAATGTTAATGTAAAAAATTATAATCTTGCACCAAAAGAATCTTAGAAAACTTACCTAACCTTATTATAACAAGAACAATTTATTTTAGCCTAACCCAACTAAATATATGTTAGATTTGTTTACAATAATTTAATACTAAACAAACACAGTGAAATATATTTTTTTCGTTAGGTTCAGAATGATTTTGGCGAAATTATTGCATACACAAATTTTCACTTGTCCTATATGGCAAGATGAGCGTTGCTATTTAAGCCAAGATCCCAAGTTTTGCCTATTCGGCACGACATATATATATATATATATTATTTGTCGTGCCGAATAAGCAAAACTTGCGATTTTGGCTTAAATAGCACCGCTCTTCTTTGTAGATGAATGGTTCAGTGAACCGACATGTTGATAAATTAGACACATGTGCAACTCTTGGGTATCTTTATTGAGGAAACGTTTCGCCACACAGTGGCTTCATCAGTCCATACGTAGGAGAAACTTGAAGAACAGGAGGAGAATGAGGTAATCAGTCCCTCAACCTTGAGTCGATGTGGTCAGTCCTTCAAGATTCTCCTTTGTATGGACTGATGAAGCCACTGTGTGGCGAAACGTTTCCTCAATAAAGATACCCAAGAGTTGCACATGTGTCTAATTTATCAACGCTCTTCTTGCCGAATAGGACAAGCGAGAATTTGTGTATGCAGTAATTTCGCAAAAATCATTCTGAATTTAACGAAAAAACATATTTCGTTGTATTTCATTATTAAATTATTGTGAACTTATAAAAAAAATATATAGTTGGATTAAGCTAAATAAAATTGCGCTTGTTATAATAAGGTCAGGTAAGTTTCCTTAGGTTCTTTTGGTATAAAATAATTAATATTTACATTAACGTAACAGAAAAAAAAAATGTATCTTGAAATGTATAAGAGAAAATTTTAGAAAGGACTTATTCAATACTATCCTCCTCAGAATCTATTATTCGGCCTATTTTTGTGTCAAAAGCGAATTTAATCATATCACTTGTAATTCCTTCAAGATCATTAATATAAATTACTAACAACAGCAAGCCTAAAACTGATAATTGTGGAATGCCACTTGTAACCTATTCCCATTAATGCAAATGCAGTTTGCTTTATATTGGTCAACCATGCCTCGGTTTACGTTACAATCTTACCTCCTATACCATGAGCTGCCATTTATATTGGTAAACCATGCCTCGGTTTACGTTACAATCTTACCTTCTATACCATGAGCTGCCATTTATATTGGTCAACCATGCCTCGGTTTACGTTACAATCTTACCTTCTATACCATGAGCTGCCATTTATATTGGTCAACCATGCCTCGGTTTACGTTACAACCTTACCTCCTATACCATGATCTGCCATTTATATTGGTCAACCATGCCTCGGTTTACGTTGCAACCTTACCTCCTATACCATGAGCTGCCATTTATATTGGTCAACCATGCTCGGTTTACGTTGCAACCTTACCTCCTATACCATGAGCTGCCATTTATATTGGTCAACCATGCCTCGGTTTACGTTGCAACCTTACCTCCTATACCATGAGCTGCCATTTATATTGGTCAACCATGCCTCGGTTTACGTTGCAACCTTACCTCCTATACCATGAGCTGCCATTTATATTGGTCAACCATGCCTCGGTTTACGTTGCAACCTTACCTCCTATACCATGAGCTGCCATTTTCCTTAAGTCTTTTGTGAGGTTCTCTATTGGAGGCTTGACTAAAATCCAAATTAACATTCTTTATCATTGTCTAATGCTTTAGTAAAGAATGTCAGTAAATTTGTCAGTCTGGAAAACCTTTTGAGAATGCATGTTGGATTTATTATTCAAATTATGCTGATTAAGGCGACATCTAATAATATCGGCAATAACTGATTATATAATTTGATCATTGACATCAGGCTTATTGAACGGTAGCAAAAACTCTCGCTTCACACGGTTAGGGTCCAGGTTCGATTCCCGGTGAAGAGGTGGAAACATTGGACGTGTTTCCTTATACCGGTTGTCTATGTTCACCCATTGCTCCATTGTTGGTGCTAGTGAGGATAGGAATAAGACAGGTAAACATGCACCAACAGGGAATACAGTCACAGAAACCCAAGGCAAACAGAAACCAAGCCTGTGGCACATACTATTGCACTTGGTATCTGCAGGCATGGGAAATCTGGAAAAAAGATGGGACGTGCAACTATGACCACCCTAGAAAATGCCGTGTCCATATGACAAGAGGAAAATGCAAACTCCCTTCCTGCAAGCTTTTTCACACTGAAATGTGTCCCTCTTCAGTACAGGAAAGACTGTGCTATAACTAAATTGCCAGGCACACCATCTAAAGGGGACAAAAAGATACAAAACATCCAGGCCATGGGAAAACCTGGGTGGCCACAGCCACTCAAGAGGGAGAGGTTTTTTAGTGCCAGGAAGGAAAAAAAACTGGCAGGAAATGGCAGAAATCGTACACCAAATCCAGTCATTCCTGGAGTGGAACCACAGTCGATGGCCTTCACTCCAAACCAACAGATACAGATACTAATGCCGGAAAAAAAATCCCTCCCCCCAGTACCAACAATACCACCAGTCCGATGACATTCTTCTTTCCAAATATACAGGGTCTAAAGCCAGCAACAACAACGAAACAACAAAATGCCTTTCATCCGTGGACTGCTTGCAGAGGCAAATGAAATGTTCGCGGAGACCAACATGAAGGATCACTTGGACAACGAAATATGGATCCCAGGTTACAACCTATACAGATGTGACAGAGTGAACAGGCAAAAGGTGGGGGGGTTGGCCTGTACATCGCAGAGTCACTTGTTTGCACTGAGCTGCTTAATGCCTCAAATGATGAAGTGGAAGTTTTAGCAGTAAAGATCGAGAACCAAAACCTAGTCATTGTGGTAGTCTACAAGCCCCCGGATGCAACATCCCAGCAATTCCAGGAACAGCTCTTAAAAATTGACCACTGTCTGGAAAACCTTCCAGCTCCTGCCCCCAGCATCTTGCTCCTGGGGGATTTCAACTTAAGGCACCTAAAATGGAGGAATATAGCAAATAATATTGTTGCAGTGATAACACCAGGAGGCAGCTCTGATGAGAACTCACACACACACGAGCTTTTAAATCTCTGCACAAAATTCAATTTAAACCAGCAAATAATAGAGCCTACTAGACTGGAGAATACACTAGACCTCATCTTCACTAACAATGATGATCTGATACGAAATGTCACCATATCAAAAACAATATACTCAGATCACAACATAATTGGAGTTCAGACATGTATGCGCAGAGCCCCAGACCGACATAATGAGATTAGTCACGAGGGAGCATTCACCAAATTCAACTTCAATAACAAAAACATAAAGTGGGACCAAGTAAACCAAGTCCTAACCGATATAAGCTGGGAAGATATACAAGCAACACAGACCCCAACTTATGCCTAGAACAGATTAATTAACTCGGTGGCACTCGATGTATGCACAAGGCTTATTCCTCTAAGAAAAAGGAGGAGTAGATGTAAATTAGAAAGAG